AGTAGGGGGTTAGGTCTCCATAGCCGATGCTCATTGATCTCTGGGGTTTATCAACCTTCGTCGACGATGCTCATTGATCTCTGGGGTTTATCAAGTGGCCCCTTCGTCGGCCAAAGCCAACTATCGCATGCCATAATACCGATAATAGCGTCTTGTGTTAGTTTCAGGGTCTGAATTTTCAACTTTGAATCTCGCAACAGAGCAGATAATTAAGAAACATAGAGTGATGATGGCGAGGAAAGTTGCAGTCCTGCCTATTGTGGGGATGGTAATGGCAGAGTGTGCACAGGCTGGGCGTATGATATTAGGCAAGGCAGCCATGTCAAATGGCATGAGTAGTTTCGTCTTTGTTCTCTACTCTAATGCCATTGCCTCCCTCATCCTCCTCCCTTCTTTTCTCTTTCACAGGTTCTCATCTCCATCTCTCAGCACCCACGCCTTGAAGGAATCATGTACATCTGACATAGCTCTGTTATTCTTCTCTTTTATTTGGCAGATCATCAGAGAGGCCTCCACTCACCCTGTCAATTGTCTCTGGATTCTTCTTGCTTGGTCTTTTTGGGTTTGCACTTCTCTTTAGAATTGCCCTCTGACTCTATAGCTTAATTTCTTGCGTTTTCTTTTTCTGGGTTTGATTTGCCATAGTTTTTCTCAGTTGCTTGGGACAGAGCTTTTGTTATGCTGGCATTAACCTCAGCTCTCCTACACTTGGCACTGCTATGCTCAACCTTGTCCCTGGTCTTACCTTCATGCTTGCCATTATTTTCAGGTTATGTACTTTTTTGTTTGCTTGACTTGATTGTTTTCCTTCTGTTTTTTAGCTTAAAATCTTTCTCAAAGATTTGTGAAGTAAAGAAGCAGTAGTGACGTGAGGGGATTTTTTCCATGCATAATAAATGTTCACTGTCTTATCAAGTAATTAAGATATTTAGTTTTCAAAAGTTTAATAAGAGTTAAAGATTTAGTTTGAATCTCGAGCTAAGATTTTCATAGAAGATGCTGAATGTTATAATTTTTATCAGGTCTAAATTTTATATTCGGAGAAGGTTTTCAAGTAGGGCTTGGAGGTTATTGTGCAAGATTGCTTTTATTTTCTTTGTTGTTTTTGGATTTTTTTTTCTATTTAGATTAGAATTTTAAGTTAATTAGTATTTTATTATTTAGAAGTTATAATACTAAATGGATTCTATTAATTATATAAGTTTTAATTAAAAATTTTTTTTTTATAAAGAATTTTTGTTTTAATTAGGAATTATTTCTCATAAAGGTTTTTAAACTAATATAAATATGAATATCTAATTCATTTCAAGAAAAAAATTATTATTTAATTTTTTAATAAAAGAACAAAGAATTTTCTCTAAATTTCTTTATAATTTAGATCTATAATATTAGAGTTTTAGAGCCCTAGCTTTAACCATGCTATATGTCATGTTAATTGATATGCTCAAGATAAGAGATTAGATCATTTGGTGCAAACATAACAGATCTAGCTCGGCTAATAAATAACACAAATAAAGATTTGTGAAGAAAAAAGGAACTTACTTGGAGACTTAGCTTGAGGTAAGTTAAAATCTAAATCTATTCTTGAATTTGATTAGATTTTTTTTATGATGAGAGACTTTCAAAGAAATTTTTTTTGAAGTGGTTAACAAAGTTAAAAGCTTACGTTTATTTTAACAAGATTTCTTATTATAAAAAAAATAAGGCTTACCATACACAATCTTTCTTGTGGTGCTAGAAAATGATGATTTGAATCTTTAAACTTTAAAACTCGTATTGATATACTTTTAAGTTCTCTTAGTAAAATTTAAGATAATAATTTCATTTTGTTGCGTTTGGATTCTTTTCTAAATTAAGACTTTAAATTGATTAATATTTTATTATATAAGAATTCTAAAACTAGATAAATTCTACTAAATTAGAATCCTTTCTCATAAAAGGTCTTACTAGGAATCATTTATTATAAAGCATCTTAATACTAATATAAATAAATAGGAGAACATTCTTATTTAGATTTTTAATAAAACAATAAAGTTTTCTCTGAATTTTTCAACAACTTATATCTATAACTTTGGTGCCTGAGAACTCTAATTTTAACAACGCTATACTCCGCGTCAAGTACTGTAAAGGATAGGGCTAAAATGCTTTTGCTGGGTTGTTTCAGGATGGAAAATGTTGACTGGAAAAGTTACAGCACCCTAGCTAAATCTATGGGAACCGTAGTATCAATTGGAGGGGCATTTATTGTTACTTGCTACAAGGGTCCCCTACTTCTGAAGGCACGACCCTCTGTTACAAAGTCATCTCATCAGGTTCTCTTGCAACAGTCCAATTGGGTTCTTGGAGGATTGCTCATGGTAGTTGACTGTGCTACGGCTTCTTCATGGCTTATAGTACAGGTGAAATTTAACAAACCCCAATGAAGATAAAAGAAGCCTGCTAAAAGTTCAAGAAAAAAATCAATAAACTCTAATTTCCCATATATATTTCATGTTTCAGGCATTGATCCTTAAAAAGTACTCAGCAAAGTTGATTGTGGTTTTTTTTCACTTCTTCTTTTCGACCATATTGTCTTCAATAGTTTCTGTGGTCATGGAAAGAGACCCCTCTGCTTGGAGCTTAAACTCTAATATAAGATTGATTGCTGTTCTCTTCTCGGTATGTAAAGAAAAACCATCTTGGATTCCAGCTTCTCTAGACTTCAAATCTTAGCTTAATATTGTTACAATATGCAACCAGCGAGTTAACATTTTTAACAAGCAGGGAATCTTGGGCAATGCATTCGAAATTGGTGTTACAGCATGGTGTCTACACAAGACAGGTCCTGTGTTTGTTGCTATATTTGCACCCTTGGGGATTGTCATCGCAGCTGCAGCAAGTGTCATCTGCTTTGGGGACGCTCTGGATCTTGGAATGTGAGGCCCTTTTGATCTTGGATTATATTTATGATTAGCTGGGTTGTTTAGTTTGAAATCATCTATCTTTTCTGCCATTGCAGTGTGGTTGGAGCTGCTATAATAGCCATTGGATTTTATGCAGTGATTTGGGGGAAGGCCCAAGAAGAGATCAAGAAAGTTGAAGACAAGGAAAATTGTGGCTCCGCCTCATCCTCTCAGAAAGTCCCTTTTCTGCAAAATAGAAGCAATGATCATGCGTAGCAAGGTAATATCAATGGAAATGTTTGTTTATCTCCTCATCTTACATCAACTATCAATACTCCCGCCTCTAGTGGTTGGCATCACGGGCATTTGTATCTGCATTTGCGAGAGTTTTATGGCAGGCACAGGAAATATAAACACAAGACACCCTCGAAACAATCTAGTCTGTTCAAGAAGTTGAGGAAACAGTTCAGTTTGACAAGGAAATAGCCTTTCTTGCTACTTCCTACAGCATCTGATGATTGTACCAGCTCAAGGAAGCGGACAGCCATAGAGAGGGTGGTTGCAGTGGAGGGATGGAATAGGGTAAAATAAAGCAATTCCATCATTGATTAATCTTCAGGGATAATAAAATGCATGGAAACTCTTCATGTCTTCGTTGAGGTCGCTTAGCATTAGCAGGCAGGGCCCTGCCCTGTTCTTTGGGAGTTTTTTTTAGCTGATGATTGTAATTTTAACAGATTGTATTGTAGCTTGCATTGGAATTTCCGTTCAATATTGAAGTGTCCTCTCAGTGGCATGCAGGTGTCGATTTTCTTTATTATTACTTTTTTGAGTATTTTAGGATAAATTCTATTTCTTACATGCCAAATCTTTTCCCAGTTAAGTAATTCATCCAAACTTGGATTGTTATATACTAAGAAAACAAATCTGATATTGTCTCCAAAATCTTAACCTTCTATTTGTCATGATATGATTGATCTGATCGAGTATCTCTTGAAATTGTTTATATCAATAAAACAATGATCAATCCTAAATCATTTAAATTTAGTTGTGTTAAATTTAATTTAATCATTACTTCAAATGAAATTGGGAATCAATCATTAAACTAATTAATTATAGATATGTTTAAAGGTATGGTTGTATTTTTTTAGATATGTTTAAAGGTATGGTTGTATTTTTTAATTTTTTTTTTATTTTGAAATATATTAAAATAATATTATTTTATTTTTTAAAGTTTATTTTTAATATTAGTCCATCAAAATAACTTAAAAATATCAAAAATATATTAATTAAAATTTTTAAAAATACTTTTCAAATAAAAAAAACCTGTCTAAATCAGGCTTAATACCTATTGATTAACGTCCCAGCCAATCGAAATTAAGTTTTGAGTATCTGGTTTATGGGATTTTAGCAAAAGTAATGCCTTTGTTTTTCAACTCAAGCCATTTAACCAATGGCTACTCCAAAAGCCAAAAAAGCAAATCTTGGCGTGCGCGTCTTTAGAGAATCCAACCCCAGAAAGAACATATTCCAGGTAACCAATCAAAGTCCACTACAAAATACCCATCCCCATGAACATCTCTCACACCCCACCAGAATCTCTCTCCCTTTCTCTCATTTCTCTCACTCAACTCCGGCCCTGAAACCCCTTCAAGACACCGAGAGCCACAAGTTCTTGAGCACTGAGTACTAACTAGAGTGTTGTTCTTCTTGAGGTCATATCTGCTGACCCTTTAACCTGGTATCCTTCAATCCGATAAAAAGGAAATGACTTGTGCCTCACAGGCAATGTTATCAGCGAACACTTGCACACTCACTTCGAAAAGACTTTTCAGGAAATACACATATGGAAGTAAGTGAAACTTGAAGCTTTTCACTATCAGAGCTTCCTCTGATGACTCTGACTGTAATACTGAAGAATGTGCCCCAGAAAAAGAGGTCAGTTCACAAGAATTATAACTGTTTTTGGTTATCTTATCTTATATTCTTATGCTAACTCAGTCTTGGTAACTCTAGAGTCTATAGGCTGTCAAGAAGTTAGATTGTGTATATTGTCATGTCTGGAGACTTTTTGTTTGTTTGTTCTTCTTGAATTATATTATTTCATAACGCAAGAAAAGGGGAAAAATCTCACTTTGACGGACTTCAGGATCTTGGGATGTGGAATTTTTATGGTTTTGTTGATTGAAAATTTGTGGCAAGATACTAAAGCCAGGATAAAAGGATTCCTTTTCTCTTCTTGTAATGATTTTGTAATGGAAAAAAAAATTCAAAGCATATGTTGTGCACGCATTATTTGATTGTAAAATTCTATCTTTGGAGATTATAGTTTTATTAATTTCTTCAAATAATTTACATTATTTATTGATTTTATAATTTAGTTGAAAAGAGAGTCTAGCTGTTTTATTTTATTTTTTATATTTTTGGAATGGCTGATTAACAGTTATAGCCTTATAGCCCTAAGATGTATTTGTGCATTAAGGCTTGTAACCGTACAGCATTGCTATATGAAAGTGAAATGATGTCTTGCTTGTTGTGAAGTAGGCTGGGATGGTGAGTTTGGAGTGGTTGGCTGGGGAGAAAACCAAAGTCGTCGGGACATTCCCACCGCGGACTCGTGGTTGGACAGGGTATGTTGAGAAAGATACTGCAGGGCAGACAGATATCTATTCTGTTGAGACTAGTTATCTTCATGTTTTCCTATAACCTGCCTTCTTTCAAGTTTGTTACTGTATACAGAAAAGAAACACTCAGAGCAGTTGCTGCTGCTCTTGACATAGCATATTAAACGTATTACCTGTTAACCATATTAATCGTCTAGGATCAATTCTAATGAAACCTGAATAATCCCAAGGTTGAAACCATAAGTGTGCCTCAATTAGCTATGAAAATGGTAATGTTCTAGCGGCGATGAATTAACTCTATGTCTCATCAGTTGTTTCAAATGAATCAGTTTTCATCCTTGAAGCGATCCACGGTTGTGATTTTATTACATTTGAGAGCTGATAGATATTCATGGAAAAGTGTAGCTGGGTATTAAGGATTGCCCATCCTCTGAGTTGTGTTGCTTGTACTATAGTCCAGAAGTCCTGATATTAGTTACCTCTCGCTTCATCTCAAAGTAGGTTCTCCTTATGTGGCAGGAGATAGGGGTCGATTCATGCCAAAAACCAATCCCAAAGCCATCATTGATACTATAATGTGCTCGAAATACATCTTCCGTGCTTTGCAGCTGTCAAGGATACTTCTGTAGTTTGTGTATGCCATCAATTAAGGAATGCGCCTTAATTTTAGTGAATTGAGAGTGATTGTAAAACTGCATTGCATTCAAATGTCCTTCTGTGTGATATAGCAATTGAAGTGAAGAGTTAAGTTTCTGTGTCTATGTTCCCAAGAACAGAACAGAGTGCACTGCAGTATTTCTTTTTCATTGTTATGGCGTATATATGGCGAGTGAAGGATATTCCTGCTGTTGTTTGCATGCATCAGTAAATGTCCCAGGAGCAGGATTCTTGATTCCGGATTGCTCATTGTTTTGCATTAGAAAGACTATTATCAGTTTCACTTCATAACAAGTTATTATGGTCTCTGCCCATCATCTATCTCTATTTCATTTTGATTTTCCTCACCACGCTTCTTTCTAGTGTGGAGTTGTATTCATCTAATAACTTCTAATATTTCCAGCCTGCAGTTTATGTAGCAGAAAGTGCAATAAGTTCATTTCTTCTTCTTCTTCTTGCTGATAAGAGCCCATCTGACGGTTCATGTATAAACTGGTTTGAAATTTAGCTTTTTAGTTGAGCTCGGGTATAGCGTTTCACAGGTTGCAAACTTGAAAGATTAATCTAGTTTTAGAAGATCTATTCTAATTTATATTGGTTTTTGTATCATTTTTTAAATTTATATTCTATTAATTTCATTTTTAAATATTTATTTAATTAAACATTGAGTTTTTTTTTATATGCTTTCTACATCTTTTATTTTATCCTCTTTTTTTTGTGTGTAATTGGGTTGTCTTTGGTTTTTTATATTTATCATTTTTTATTAAATTAAATAGAATTAATTGATTGAATGTAGACATGAAATGCTTATTTCTTAATGTTTTATTTGAGTTGTTTTCCAGGATCATTGCTCTAACAACACTTGTATCATATTTTTTTTCAATTAAAAACACTTCCTCAAGATGTATAACTTGTCAACAGGGTCTAACAACATGCAAATACTTCCCAAGATCTAGCCTCCATTTTTCAAGGCCATCTTCTTCAATCATGCTATTTTTTGTTTTTTTTTTGTTTCATGTGTTATCTAGAAAGTCGAAAGGATACAAACTTTGGATCGTCATAAAAAAGTCTTCTTCAATCATGCTATTTTTTGTTTTTATTTTTTGTCTAGAAAGTCGAAAGGACACAAACTTTGGATCGTCATAAAAAACGGACTCCAAAATAAGCACAAGAACCTCGAGAGTATAACTTATTAGATCTTGAGTCTTGATCAATTAACAATCAAAAAAGAATTCAATGACTATCATAAATGGTGGCCTGCTTTTTAAAACTTTTGTTTAATGCAGTAGCCGTTGAACATTAACTCCAAAGTTCCCATTCTATTAATTTTTTTCCCGCGGACCCGGTGGCCCTTCTTATCACCCCTCTTTTCAAATCCAACGCCTTTTTCCACTTCTTGTTCTATCTCTTTCTTTCAGTCCCTCATGTCCACAGTTGCTCCACCAGTGTCAGCGTCGGCCGCTGCTGGCAGTGGCCTTGGTTATGGTATCGCCATTGCCATTGGCATTCTCGTCCTCATTTCTACTATAATGCTCACCTCTTATGCTTGCTCAAGGATTAAAGGTAATGGTAATAGCAATGGCAGCAATAATAATGATAATAGTAATGATAACAGCAACAACTATGAGCATGGGCATGACCGGCACTTCACTGCCGGCAATCCAATAGAGCCAATGACGGTGATGGTGGGTCTTGCTGAGCCCATTATAGACTCGTATACGAAGATGGTGTTGGGCGAAAGCCGGCGACTACCCAAACCCAATGAAGGTCCATGCTCCATATGCTTGTCCGATTACCAGACCAAGGATACCATACGGTGTATTCCAGATTGTCATCACTGTTTCCATGCTGATTGTATTGATGGATGGCTTAAGATGAGTGCTACTTGTCCATTGTGTAGGAATTCTCCAGCTCCATCAAAGGGTCCCACGCCTGTAACTACTCCTTTGGCCGAGGTTGTGCCCTTGGCCTTCCATGCCAGGTGATGCTGCCAACAAAAAGGTGTTCTTCCACTTTCAATTTTTCAAGCTTAATTATTCTAGCTTTAGCTTCTGCCTTCAATTCTTTTTTAGCCCGAGCTAAGGATTAGTGTTATAATATCAACACACCTATCAAGGTTTCCGTCTTGTTTAATTTTTTATGGGATCCGGAGTTCTTGATTTCGGGTTTATTTGCGTGGTGCTAAGAACACATTTCTTATGTGGAGATTCTTTCACCTTGAATCAAATGTCTTTAATCTTGCTCCTGGGATTGTTGCTGGACAGCGGCTCCTAAAATTTCTGCTAGTTATTAATCCAGGTGGTCCTTGATATTCATACTCTTAATTACGACAGATTAAAATTACTGTGCACTAATTGCTAAGCATCATCAGCACATCACATTATAACAGCCATAAGGAATCTCTAATTGTTTGTTAATTAAAATATTTCTTTTTTTTTAATAGTAGAAATATCCTCATATTAGGTTTTGAGTATCAAGATTTTTTTTTTAAAATCAGATTAAAAAAATGATCTATATCCCAATTGATATAAAATTACTTTCTTTCAATATCTCATGTAAATTTACAATGGAAGATAATATGGGAAACAATTTTTTTTTATTAAACTAATTAAATCTCTTAGACTCGATTAAAATATCTAAATGTATGAGATATTGGTTATTTTAGTTTAAATCCTTTTGGTTTTCAAGTCTACTAATTAAGATTTTCTACTATTTTAGGATTTATATATTACAATATCTATAAACTTATAATCATCTAATCAAGTTGATTGTTAGTTTCACCGTCATCCGAACTAATGGCAACTTAATGATTGGATTAATACTAATTTATGAAAGCATCTTTATTGAAATGTTTTGAACATTTTAAATACCTAAATTTATAAATTTAAAGTTCAACGTCACCAATAAAAACCATAAAGACTTGTATTAAAAAAAGAATTAAAAAATACCACATATGGTTGCAAGGACGACTAGCTCATGACGTAACTGATTTTCATTTAATTACATAAAAAATAAAAATAAATAGATAAATATTTTTTTTTTAAAAAAGTAATCAGATAATCTACAAAAAATATTTTTATAAAAATAAAATACATAATATAATTTAATTCACAATCCATTAAATATAAAATAACAAAATAGAATAAAAAAATAACATAAAATATCAGTTTTAATCAATCAAAATTTGCATAATAAATTTATAATCTTGATAATCAAAACTGAGTCAACATGATATATCTTGATAAATTTAGAATTTAAATAATGAAATTGAAATAATCTAATAAAAAAAATTATAATACCCATTTATTTTTTAAAAAATATCAACTATATTTTAACTTTTTAAATTCATAACCAGGTAATTAGAATAAAAATACTTTATTTAGAAAAAATTAATTAGAAGGAGTCCTGTTTAAAACTCTCAAAACTTGCAGCAATGATAATGAATACTGTATAAGAGAGAAAACAAGTAAAAACACGTATGGGTTCAAAAATATACCTGTATCTACAAGAACAAAAAGCTTTTATTTCATTGTCTATCAAGCTAGAGTTGGATAATGTATATTTATAGTTGAGCCTAGCTGCTCTAGGAGTACTAGTAATTTTTAATAATACCCTTTATTGCTTTGTTGTGCTTCTCTCCGATATCTATTTACAAGCCACATTTTATAGTATTGTTTTTTTAGTATATACTAATATAATTAATTTGAACCATCAATCACATTCTAAATATCTTTTATATTCATACAGATTGTTTTTTTAATACAATTATAGATTACTTCTTTTCTTTTCTTTTTAACTTTCTCAGATTTGTTATAATGATCACGTTTGGTATGGATAAATTCTCAGATTTGTTATAATGATCACGTTTGTTATAGATTACAATATCATTTCTGTTTATATATATAGCGATGTTATTTAGATAAGAATTGAAAGAAAAACTAGATAGATTTAGAAATTAACACACGTAGTCCGTAACTCGAGTGTTGATCAGCCTATCATGAAATGAGCTGGGTTATATCTCTATTCTTAAGCTCAATGATCTGTTGATAGAAGAACGACTTGAAGGTCTCGCCAAGAACACAGGTCCTCACGCCATCATTGCGAGGGAGGCCCGTTTATAACTCCAAGATCAAATGGAGCCGAAGAACAAATTTATTGGCTTCATGCTCCAAGATCAAATGGAGCCGAAGAACAAACTTATTTATTTTTATATATTTATTTATTATTAGTAGTTATTTTGGAGTTTGGATATATATAGCCAAGACCTGACCCACATATATATACCCTCCAAGGCCGTCTTTGCCTCTCACCATGACTAAAATACACGATTCATAGCAAGAGTCACGACATTCATCTTCAATATCTGCATTTGACTTGGAGTTTCTGGTCAATTTCCATGTGATATTTGCTTGCTCCATCAAAAAGTTGTGTATATTGTAGTTTATAAATGCATGTTGGAGTCTGAAAAGAACCACACCCACGCTTCACACATTACGCATCCTTTTTCATTATTTTGCTTTCATCCTCCACTTGGATCGATGCAGCCAAGCTGGTACACACACACACAAATAAAAAAATAAACAAATTTGTGGTCAAAAGCTTGCGAGTTAGTTTTATCTCTCAAATAGTTGATAGGCACAGTTTGGATTGTTGGGTCAATTCACATCTCATTGCAATAATTGGAGTCACTTATATATCATTTTATAATGCAATAATATAAATTATTTTTAGAGTATAAATTATATTTCGAAGGAATTATATAATAATTTAAGTTTTTCTACTGGTATGATTTTTTTAATATTAACTAATATTCTAAATGGCATGGGAAAGTACTATAGCTTTCCCACGCCACATGTTTTTTTTTTGTTTCATTTCCACTTTTTTTTTTGTTTTTCATGGATTTATATTTTTTTTTCAAGATTATTTATATTTTTATATTTTTTAAAATTATTTTTATTGGTTTTTTAATATTAAATTGATTGAAAATTTAGTTTTATATTTTTTTTCTTTAAAATATTATGACTTACTACAATATTTTCCTATATGATTTTTTTCTTTTTTTCTTTATGAATTTTTTTTAAATAATTTTTGTTGATTTTAGTTTTTCCATATTAAGTTGGTTAAGAATTTTGTTTCGTAGTTTTTTATTTAAAATATTATGAATTGTTATAATATTTCCCTATATAATTTTGTTTTGCTACAATATTTCCCTACATGTTTTTTTTCAAATTATCTTTGTCAATTTTTTTTTAATATTGAGATGATTCAGAATTCAGCTTTAACTTTCCTCACATGTTTTTTTTCCTTTTTTTTTTTCAAAATTACCTTTTTTTTTCAGAATTATTTTTGTTGATTTTATTTTTTTAATATGGAGATGGTTGAAAATTTAGTTTTGTATTTTTTTTCTTGGAAATACTGTGGATTGCTATAATATTTTTCCACGTGTTTTTTTTCTTTTTTATAATTTTTTTCAGAATTGTCTTTGTCGATTTTATTTTTTTCATATTAAGATAATTAAGAATATAGTTTCGTAGTTTTTTTCTTTAAAATATTGTGGATTGTTACAATGTTTCCTTATATGATTTTTTTGTTATGATTTATTTTAAAATTATCTTTATCAATTTTATTATTTTTGATATTGAACTCGTTGAGAATTATAACTATATTTTTGATATTGAACTCGTTGAGAATTACAACTATATATTTCCTCGTAAAACACTATAGATTGCTGCAGTGTTTCCCTGCCCTCGTGAAACACTATAGATTGCTGCAGTGTTTTCCTGCATTGTTTTTTTTGTTGATTTTTTTTTATATTGAGCTGGTTGAGAATTTAACCTTTTTTTTTTCTTTAAAACATTGTGGATTGCTATAATGTTTCCCTATATGATTTTTTTGTTATGATTTTTTTTAAATTTTTTAAATTTTTTTATTTTTTAAATATTAAGTTGATTGAGAATTTAACTTTATAGTTTTTTTCTTAAAAACATTAAGGATTATAATAGTTTTTCTCTATATAATTTTTTTAACAAACTTACAACAACACACAAACATACTACAAACCCGCGCGATGCCGTATAGAATCTAGTAATATCAAAGTTATGTTGGCCAAGTCATTAGTACGAGCTTGAATTTTACTTCCTCCATTTTAATTAATAAAAAAACTAAATATAATGTAATATAAATTTAAGTTTGAATTTTTTTTACTTGAGTGAGAATATTGTAAAGATTAATATAAACCATATAGTTATAGCTACATATACAATGAATTTAATTATTAATTAATCATTTTTATGTTATATGTAAAGAAAATTACAATGTGAGATGGGTTTTTAAATTAACAATGCTATTCTTTAAATTGGTATTTTGTTAGTTATGCGTGCAATGCATGTTTTAATTATTTTTAAAATAAGTTTTATATTTTTAAATTAACAAATCATTGCTCTTAATAAAAGATCATGATAAAAAAAACAAAATAAAAAAAGCCTTCGAATGCCAATTAAAAAAATTTGTTTATGAAGGTATTTTAGTAATTTTATTATATTTTTAAAAAATAAAAATACAAAAATATTTATGTATTTTAGTTAATTAAATCTTGTTTTTGAGGTTGATTTAGTAATTATATTGTACTAGAAAATTTTGAAAGAGACCTGTATATCCCAACGAACCTAATAATAATCAATTGAGTCTTGTAAAATGACTGTTCTACTCGTATTAACTACTGTAATGGTTTTTTGTCAGAAGAAAAAAATCATAATTTAATTATAGCAATCTGTTATGTGTTTTTGTATTATGAAACATTGAGTCTTTTTTTTATTTTACATGTCAATAATGAATAAAACTTTTTAAATTTTATATAATAAGTTAACAATGAACGAAAGATTAAAAACATAAAGCAATAAATGTCATCAAGCAAGCATTAACACATGAAATACTTTGCATTGATTTTATTTAAACACTTTCTCAATAACATCATAACATTAAATTAGAGAATATTGAAGATAATCTTCCACGATATATATTGCACAAAAAGAAAATAAATAACTCACACCAAATTATAACAATAGTTATAAAAGTAGGTGTTATAGCAAACTTAATCAAAGGAGAAAAAAAGAAGATCACGTA